GGGGTTTTGAATACAAATATATATATATATATATATATATATATATATATATATATATATAAACTAGACGAACTTTATGGTTGTACGTCAGTGAAGCGTCAGTGCCAACACTGATGTTGCTGTCTTTGATGATGACGATGATGATGATGAATTGATGGTGTCCCGGCGAAACTCAGTCTCTCATAACAGGTTGGTCAATCGTTAGAGGTCTGACAAAAAGTATCCTGGCACTCCAGGTTGGGGGTTGGAACATTTGGCGACTTGTTCCGTAGAAATGGTAATGCATTTGCGCTTCCCGCCAAACAGCGCTGCCTTGCAGCTAGGCTTTTGAGCCAAAGGCCTTGGTTGAGGACCCTAATTGTCCTCCTGTATAAGTTTGAGTGCCCTGGTGGTATCCCAGTTCACGTACAACCATGTCACCTATAACAATACTCCCATGCTACATCGGCCGTCGAATTATGCCATCAGTCGAGTCGCCTTACTGGCTGCATAGAACAGAACGGATGAGCGAAAACAGGCTACTGCTGATGCCTCCCTTCTTTATCTTTCACGAACTTCTTCCCCCACCCTCCCCACTCCACTAATAACTCTCTCCTTGTAGGCCCAGTACTAGGGACTGATTACTCGGTTCGTCTTGCATCGGTTTTGAGTGCAACATCTGCTCGTCACATGGCGCCGACATCCTCAGGTATCTCCAAATCAATCTTCAAGCGTCGACACCCAGTCTATCTGCCCGCTTTCAATACCCGCACTCTAAAGCAAGTGGAACAAGACGCTGATTTTGCTCTCACACTGGAATTGCTTGGAATTGTGTGCTGTCTCAGAAACAAGAATTCAAGATGCAAGCACAGTGATTGAGCTAACCGCCCCGCCACTCAACATTCACCCCCGCCTACGCACCTCTGGTGATGCAGAGGCTGCTGGGCCGGGATATGCAGGGTTGGTATCGTCCTAAGGGATGGAAGTATCCTTGCTTGACTGGATACCTGTTGACAATCGCCTCCGTGCGGTTCGTCTGGCAACGTCTGTGAAGGAGTCTCACAAGCGGGGAGTTGATATATATATATATATATATATATATATATATATATATCGTGTGTGTATATGCCCCCCACT